AATATACATTGTGGTGCCATATAAGAAATTCAACAGAAAAGCTACATTGATCTGTTAGACTACTAATCTCTATGCAAAGGAAAATTTAAGCATTTTGAATAATCCTGACTTTATTTTTAGGAAAATACACTGAGTTGATAGGTGAATAAGAGCTAAATGTCTCTCTCATATTTACCTAACATAATGTATGAAGAAGGCTGCCGTATGTGCACCAGAAAGAGCTTCTTGGCAAGGTCTCAGTTGTGCAAGGTGCTGAGCAGCTCCTGAGCAGTGTTCTGTGCATTGAAGCCAATGAGAGATGAGGGGATTCAGCACCAGGATGAGCTCCTGAAATCTGTGATGTCTGCTACAACTCCCCAATAAAAGTGAGTGGGACTGAATACAATCTCTTTCCCCACTCATAGTGAGTGCCCAGCATTTCCTTTTCTCAAGGTCATCAGAATCCAGGGGGTATAATTAATATTAAAATGGACATTTTCCCCCTCTTGGTGCCAACAAATGCCTCCACTTCCCAGGGTGACTCTTCTGCCTTCTGTTTTTGGCAGGCTACTGTTTGTCCATATTTCATGGTGACTCTTCTGCCTTCTGTTTTTGGCAGGCTACCGTTTGTCCATATTTCATAACAACAATTGTGTAACAACAACAGAACATAGCTGCTGCAGCTTCTGGTTGTGGTAAATATGCTGGGTCTTAAGCCCATTATCATCTCTGCTGTGTCACTTACTTCCTGATACTCAGTTGCTCCATAACTCCTCGCAGTGACTGGTGAACTGTCCTGCTTGCCAGACTGATGTAGGACTAGACACATTGCACTACTGCACACCCCGAGAACTGTCACTGAATCAAAACTGCCTCCTGGAGGTGCTCGGGTAGAACATGGCCCCATCCCCAAATATGAATAAGTTATTTTAGATTAAAACAAAGTGAATGATGTGAACGACTGCAGAGCTGGAAGAGAAAGTCTAATTAAATCAAAGCTGTTAGTCTATTGTCACAGCTGATTAATTATTAGCTGGAGATAATTCATCACTTTAACTCATGGTAGGAATAGCTCTTGTGTTATCAGGAGCAGAAATTTAATAAAAAACAGTAAACCTGATGCGTAGGCCTGCACTGGAAGTCCCAGTTCAGAGGGCTGAACAATCTCTTCTAGAGAGAGTGTGCCAGGGAAATGGGTTTCAACATCTGTGGTGAAATCATGGCCCTAGGTAATAGCCAAACTCCCAATGACTACAGTAGAGTCAAGATTGCACCCCTGAGGGGGTTGATAAGTTTACTTTCTGTGGAAGTGGGGATTTGCTTCCATTCTAGCTCCACAGGAGGCCTGATTCTCCAGCTCCAAAGACGTTCTGAGTCTTATGCTCACTGCCTCCAAACTGCTTTCCATAGGCACCATCTTACCTATGCCAGCATGGTTCCTTCAGACTCTATGTTGCCCATACCTTGACTTGCAACTCCACAGCTCACACTCATTTCTCTAGAGCAGTGGTCTCCAACCTTTTTAACCACAAGAGCGCTTTTTCAATTGAAGTGCAATGTAAGATCTGCCTCAAACCCAAATACCCTTGCCCGGCTTCCTTCCCGCCTCTTCTTTGAGGCCCTGCCCCTGCTCCATCCCTTTGCCAAGGCTTCACCCGGCTCACTCCATTTCCCTTCCTCCCTGTATCTCATTCACTTTCACCAGGCTGGGCTAGGGATTTGGAATGCAGGCTCTGGTCTTGGGCCAACAGATTTGGAGTGTGGGAGGGGACTCCCTGAAGGGAGAGAGAGAGAGGAGGGATGGGTTCTGGAGTGCCCTAGGAGATAGGGCATTTGCCTGGGGAGTGCAGGGCTGGGGGCTTGAGTGCTGCCGCCTCCCTTCCCCCCAGTCAAAAACTAAAAACAACCCACTTTGCAAGCAGTAAAAGTCGTAATGATTCCCCACATACGTGTTGGGTCAGGACAGTGTGTGCTTGTGATAATGACAGAGACACACAGTGTGTGAGTGTGACAGAGATTTGCATTGCCAAGCTCCCTCCATGCCCTTCTCTCTGTGGAGGACGGAGGGAGGGAGGACACCCTGACATCAGAGGCCCATAAAGCAGTGGCTCCATGCACTACCCCTCATCCACAGCAGGCCCACAACCTCCCTGCCCCTGCTCCATCCCTTTGCCAAGGCTTCACCCGGCTCACTCCATTTCCCTTCCTCCCTGTATCTCATTCACTTTCACCAGGCTGGGGTAGGGATTTGGAGTGCAGGCTCTGGTCTTGGGCCAACAGATCTGGAGTGTGGGAGGGGACTCCCTGAAGGGAGAGAGAGAGAGGAGGGATGGGTTCTGGAGTGCCCTAGGAGATAGGGCATTTGCCTGGGGAGCACAGGGCTGGGGGCTTGAGTGCTGCCGCCTCCCTTCCCCCCAGTCAAAAACTAAAAACAACCCACTTTGCAAGCAGTAAAAGTCGTAATGATTCCCCACATACGTGTTGGGTCAGGACAGTGTGTGCTTGTGACAATGACTGAGACACACAGTGTGTGAGTGTGACAGAGATTTGCATTGCCAAGCTCCCTCCATGCCCTTCTCTCTGTGGAGGACGGAGGGAGGGAGGACACCCTGACATCAGCACCTCCCCTCGTCTCCCATCCCACACCTTGCACAGCAAGCAGGAGGCTGCCAAGGGGCAGCTCCAAGGCAGAGAGCAGGAGTAGCATGACAGTGGGAGGAAGAGCAACTGAAATGCCAGCACTTAATAGCTTCCTGGCCAAACCAGTCAGGATCACCTGTCAGAGGCTCCAAGATCTAGTGGTAGATCCCACTACTGGTTGGTGACCACTGCCTTAGAGTATAGAGGGAGGGAGGGAAGGGGGAATCACCATAAGAGAATGTTGACAACTGTCAGAAATGCCATGCACTGTATTACTGTAACATGCCTGCAGGTTTGTAACACAGCAGATGACACAGCAGATGACATTCATTGCTGTATTACTGTAACATGCCTGCAGGTTTGTGAGGCTATGACACAGCAGATGACATTCATCACCTTTGATCTTTCCTTTTTGTGCTACCAGTGAAGCCCAAAATTCATGGACAGGGTTTGTGACTAATCAATAGCACAGAGGCACTGAGGACACTTAGGCTTAATTATTAGCTAGCATAAGATAACCCATTTTTTAGATTTTAAAAAAATATGCTCATCAATCCTTACTTCAGGCTAAATTTCCCAAGCAATCAGTGGAGGTTTTGCTTGAGCAAGGACCAAGTAGAGACTTCATGAATGGGTCCTGCATGTTTCTGCAGTGGGACCAAATGTTACCAAGGAAACTGATCATCTACAGCTCTGCAGTGTAGTTAGACAGTACATATTTCATAAACATTCAAAAGAAGATTTGTGGATGGCTCATCAATAGAAATGCAATGAGGTAGGTGTAAGACCAAAATTGTTCCCTGGTCATATTGATGAGATTGGGTACACTCAGTTCATGCTGATAATGGTTGAATCAGTAAATTAAATGGAGAATGTCACTAAAGTACTATTTATAATTTCTCAGAGATCTTTTGGCTTATCACTTTGAACGCCTTATGATAAATAGCTGCCTGCCTCATGAGAAATAGTATTTCTTTAGTCACATTCTAGCATTTGGTCCACATTGATTTCTCTGTTAATGTACTTTGATGACACATTAGTTACCCCTGTTTTTCCTGCTTTCTATTTCAGTGTGCTCCTTCAACTTTGAAATGAAATTATACCTTTTTCTTCTTCTACTATAAATATGTCAACATGGAACAATTAATGGACATCAGAAGAATGATATTTTGATATAAAACCCAGCTGTTTTCTGTCAGGTTAATTTCTACAACTGTATTTTTTTTCATCCTGAGACGCTCTGGCTGGTCTGAGATTTGATGAGCATACAGTGTTACTTTTAGAAATGGGCAGAACTCCAGTTAAATATTTGGCTGTTTAATAAGACGACTTTAGGATAACAAGTCTTCATGGGAATAAAAAAAGGGAGTAAAGAAAGGGCTCCCCGTGCTATTCTTAGCTGCAAAGAGTTAGATTTGGAATTTTGATTGTAAAACATGGACTTTATAAATGTTGCCATTCTAAATTTACTTCATTTGTATACAATTCAGATGGATAATCGAGTGTTACAGTATGTTCCTGCTTAGCAGCTCAGTTCTGAGTTTAATAGCCTTTAAACTAGGAGAAAAATGCATTCAATAAACACTGATAGTGTCATTTGTTTTCCAATTGCTGAACTAACTGAAGATTTGTTATGTGTATATATGTTATGTGTATATACATCAAAGAGCAGATACCTTAATGATACGAGACACAGGGAGAGAATTTCGTTGGCTTCCCCTTTGAAATAAATCATTGCTATGTATATATGTGTATCTGCTCTTTGATTCTAAGTGTTCAGTAATTTCTCAGCCAAGGAATGTACTTTCACTCTCCAATCTATATGTGTCAATTAGCACTCATTATTTAATGATAGTGGGATATACAATTTACCATTTAAAAACAAGTACATTCCTGATTAGCCGCATACCTCATTTATATATACACACACAAAGACATTTCAGTTTCAGTCTTTCTTTGTCTTCTATTCTATAATGCTAATCCACTGAAATAGTATTTGTTTATATATCATTACCATATATTGCATATTCAGTGATTTATGAGTAGATTGACTTCCCTAAGAAGTGATACACAAGCTTTCAATTGCTATATTTAGGCAGCTATGACTGATCCTACTTTATATTTTAGAAGAAACTAAAGACGTATTTTACCAGTACCTTTACTAAGTAGGAAATTGTTCCTGGAATTTGGTATTAAATAAAAACCACTAACAAGTTACTTAATATGGCACTTCTGATAGGGAGAGGTGAGGAACACTGTTTGGATAATCTGGTTTTCCCTAAGAATTACCAAACTAGAGTAAAATGACTTTCCCTCTAATGACATGCTCAAGATCCAAACTTATACCCTTTGCACTTTCCCCCATTGCTATAAACACTTACGTGGCCCCCAAGGTGCCTCGGGGGAGATCCTGTGAAGATCAATCTCATCCTTATCCATTTCTTATCCAAGCCTGGAAAGCTCAGCTGCAAATTGGTACCAAAAAGAGTATTTCAACTTGAAGAGATCCTTCCTCTTTTACTTTTTTTTAATGTTTAAGGCTTTCATTCATTGGACACAAGAAGCCAGTCAGCTACTGCAGCCACTTTGGTCAGGCAGACTATTTGCTAGCAATCTTCCCTCCACCACTAATGATAATAGTACGGTCCCTGGAATTAAAGCCAGCCAAATGTGAAGGGGGGGGGGAATAACTGAGAAAATCCCCGACTGGATGCTCTGGGAAACAGAACCGCTTCAAACGCACCTAAGAGCGGAGCCTGCTCCCCTTGCAGAAAGCCACAGATGCAGCCTCTGCCATGCAGAGGGGTTTTTAATGGATCGCTGCTACTGCTACCGCTGCCGCTCGAGGAGCCCCCCTGGCGAAGCGAGAGGCAGTGACTTTAAATAGCGCTCAGGACTGCTCCGAGTCCGGCTCGCGCTCCCTGCTGCTGCTGTAGACACAAGGCAGCGGGAACCCAGCCCTCCACGTGACTCAGCGGCTGGGTGCAGGACTGTGTCCAACACTCCAGCCGGGAGCAGCAGCAGCAGGAGGAGGAGGAGGAGGATGGGAGCTGCTCTTCCCACCTGAGCCTCCACCCTCTCCCGGAGCTAGGGATCCCAGACGCACGCGCTGGCCCCAAGCTGCACACGGAAGCGCTCGAGGAAGAGTTAAGGGCGCTTCCCGCTCACGGTACCTCAGAGACCTGCTTGGGGCTGCAGGCAGCAGCGCAGAGTAGCGCCAGGGGGCTGCTTTGCCTGCTAGCCCGTTCTGTGGCTCTGCCCTGCGGGGCTGGGAAGGGCGAGGCACTTTCCATTTTGCACCTTTGGCTGGCAGGCATTTTAGACGTGAGCACCTGTGGCTGGGTGTTTGGGGCAAGGATGGTGGGGCTAGGAGCAGACGCTTTACCCAGCGGATGTGGTAATCCCAGGCTGCGGTCCTCTCTGAAGTTGCAGGCAGGGGTGACGTTGAGGGTGCCTAGAAAACGCAGCGTGCAGGATGGAGTTCTTTCACCATCTCTGCAGTCAAATAATCTGGATTGTTTTCATCTGTCGGGTTGAGATGTTTCAGAGACGGGACCAAGCAGAGCTGAAAAGATCTGACTCTTCTCTCAACTTAAAATATTCCCCATCCCTTTCTACAGGCTTTGAGGCCAAATCCGATTTCAGGCTTTTCCTCCCCTGTACTGCTGCAAGCAAGAGAGAGGAGGGGGGAGAAGTGCTGAACAGCAGCTTGAAAAAAGGCACCTTCTTATGTACCTATAGAACTCAGCCAATGACACCCATAGATAAATATAATAAATCCCAACCCAGATCTACCTTAAACAAAGCAGTTTGTAGCTGAGTGAACTGACCTTGGGAGTTTGAGTAACCAGCCTGAATGATGGCAGCAGCTGACATGTGCAGGGAGAATTCCTCTCAAAGGTCACTAACATTTTTTTTCCTCCAGCAGGCTGCAGGACCACAGGCAACTATTGGAAACCACAACACTGTAAACCCAGAAGAACTTTCAATGGGTTTGGAGTGAGTTTTTGGAGATCACCCTCAGTGTTCAGGGTGCTCAGAAAATTAGTGCATTTTGACCAGAGAGCAATCAGAGTAAGATCTAATTAAAACATGATTAGCACTATAAGTCTTCAGTGATTCATAGTTATCTTTGAACATTTTTGGACTTTTACCCAAGGACCGGTCAAAATTTAATATGACCTGGGTGAGGAGGTCCTCTTCATGCATCCTGCCCAACTCCCTTGTCATATCTTGATTGGGTGAGGAGGTCCTCTTCATGCATCCTGCCTAACTCCCTTGTCATATCTTGATTTACAGGTAATGGTTGAATGTCAAGCAGGAGTTTTATTTTTTTAAGTTTATTCTCCCGCCCCCCCCTTTTGTACATAGGCGCTGACATTTAAAATCATTCCTAAGGGCCTGGTTTTTAAATGTAGCCATCTAAAGATACAGGTAGATGCTTTTGAAAAGCCCACAAAGGCTACGTCTAGACTGGCATGATTTTCCGGAAATGCTTTTAATGGAAAAGTTTTCCGTTAAAAGCATTTTCGGAAAAGAGCGTTTAGATTGGCACGGACGCTTTTCCGCAAAAGCACTTTTTGCGGAAAAGCGGCCGTGGCCAATCTAGACGCGCTTTTCCACAAAAAAGCCCCGATTGCCATTTTCGCGATCGGGACTTTTTTGCGCAAAACAAATCTCAGCTGTCTACACTGGCCCTTTTGCCCAAATGGGAGCAGCATAGTATTTCTGCAAAAAGCACTGATTTCTTACAGTAGGAAGTCAGTGCTTTTGTGGAAATTCAAGCGGCCAGTGTAGACAGCTGGCAAGTTTTTCCGGAAAAGCGGCTGATTTTCCAGAAAAACTGGCCAGTCTAGACACAGCCAAAGTGTTTACTTGAACCTTTAGGTGCCTACATATCTTCACAGATCTGTCTAATTGGGCCTTGTCAGTGATAAGGAAACTGAAGCAGGCCTTTTTTGGAGCTCATGAACACCTGTGCAAGCAAGTAAAGTGCATAAGAATCTCTCTCACTCTCCTGGGTGGGGTAACTGCACTGCAGATTACATGGGGCGAGAAAAGCTATTGCTAGGCTTCTGTCTCCTCAGCTGCACAAATAGGTGTGGCTATTAGGTTCTGTCCTTTCCACCAATTCACAGGCTTCCAACAGGAGCTGCACCACAAAAAAAAAAAGGCAGGCCCAGTTTACTTCTCTGATAGAACGAGGCAGGCACAAGCACCTTACTTTGACTGAGTCAGTTTGATGCCTACAATGCTCCTGAAGCAGTGCAACTATGCTCTGCTCCTTACACTGGTACTCTATCAGCTCAAGTAACTCTAGCTGGCTCACCCAAAGCCATAGAAGCAGTAGGGGAAAGGGAGATGGTATTGGAACTCAGACTTCTAGGTGTTGGACTAGAGGTGTAGGAGGTGCTGCAACATCATGTGGCTTGAAGTGGTTCCCATTATTTAGAGTTTACAGTTTGGGTTCAGTGGTTCTCAGCACCCCCACATTATACAAACTCTTACCTTCTAGGCAAACTGCTAGGTCACAGAACTGATTCTGTCTCTCTCTCTCTTGGAAGGAGTGCTCCAGGAGTCAAAGGCCTAACTTCTCACACTCAGGTTTCCCTATTGGTGTAAGTGGTTAGTCTTTTATGGTCACTGCAGCACTAAAACAAGGAGAGGAGACACTCAGAATAAGTTTGAAACCAGATGTGATAGAGTGGAAAGACAGTTGAGTAAATGTCTAATCAAGGGAATTTTAGAATGTGGATAATTTCTTGTCAGAATGCAATCCTTAGAGGCTGTGAAAATGAGTCAATATTAGGGATGTAAAATCCTGTTTAATTACTAACCACTTAAATATATCAGAGGTGTAGCCATATTAGTCTGAATCTGCATAAATAATGAGAAGTCCTGTGGCATCTTATAGACTAACAGATTTATTGGAGCATGAGCTTTTGTGGGCAAAGACCCACTTCATCAGATGCATGTGGGTATTTAACTGGGTAAACAATTAAACAGGGATACCCCCCCACACACACACCTGCTGCAGCAGGATTGGAGTACCCCCCAATGGGCCAGGCTGGAGCACCCTTCCCCCCATAGCAGGACTGGAGAAGTCCCTTAATGGTGACAGGCAGGGGAGCTGCTCTAGTCCCAACTGATTAACTGTAACCCAAAAGCATCAGCTGGTAAGGGTGATGCTTACTAGTTTACTATTCACATTCCTAGTCAATATGCTTTTAGGCTATTTTTTTTTTTTAAAAAAAACCATTGTTTATTCTCAACTTTTATGCAAATATTGATTTAGGCAATTTTGAAAGTGTACAGCATTTTCTTTATTTTAAGAGTAGCAGTACAGTATGTTGTGTTGTAGATCTGCAATATATCTGAGCCTAATCTTATTACATTTACTCATGTGAGTATAAACTCTGTATCTGTACAACATTAACATGCACATTGGAGAACAGGGTCATTGTCATAGGGTGTCCTGGCTTTATAGCACCCCTTTCTGGCCAAGTGTGGCACTGTAGGTACTTCCTGCCTGCCTAACATCACCCAGAAGGTCCCTGAAGCTTCACAAAGGGAACAATGCACTTCCTAAGTGGGAAGAAGTCTAATTTAACTGAAGATCCACTGAAAATACAAGCAAGCCTTCCTCCCAGCATTATAGGTGGAAGACAGAGGCTGTCTCAGGATATCCAATCCACCTAGGTCCATCCTTTCACACCCTACAGGGCTCCCTCTGTTAAGGTCCCTTCCTGAAATCAGACCTCTTGCCGCTACCTAGCCCTTCTCTGGAGCAAGGCATCTACACAGAGCTGACAACTGCAGCTCTTCCCTAGTACAGCAGGCCATTCCTGAGAAGCTGGGCACACCAGTCATTGTTTGGAAGTTACCTGTCTTTCAGAGCACACTTTTCAGATATATCGCTCTGGTGAGTTCTCCTGGGACTGCCTCTCCTCAGCAGCTTCCGGTTTATACAACCAAACCCAGCTACAGCCAGTTAATCCTGCATCAATCTTATTAGATAATTACCTGCCAACCAGCTACCTAGAGATTTAATTCATTCCAGGCATGTCTGAACTGGCTCAGTATCTCTTACAGAAGCCTCTGACAGGTAGGCCTGCTGTCCTTAAAGGGCCAGGCTCTGTGATTGCTGCCATACTGACAGGGAACAGTAAATGTCAGGGAAGTTCTGTCAGAGTTTTAACAGGGGACTCTAACAATATTTCTGCTTAGTCTGTGATAATTCCCAGTATACCCCATACCATGTTCTTGCAAGGAGGGAGCAGAACTGACTAGTGAATATATTAATTGGTCTACTTAACCACAAATGCTTTCTCAAACCAGGGAAGGAGGCAGCTCCAGTTGGCAATCAAGCTTATATTAAGTGCACTTGAAGGCAATGTTAATACTATTCTCCCAAAAAAAGATAGTAAGTATCTTGATATGATAGCACTGCTCTTCTCACATAATTTGAAACACAGAAAATAGAAGTTTTATGTATGTCTAGGGTTTTGCCAATTGCCTTGCAGTTGCCTTGGAATGATTTAATTATTTTTGCTCTAGAATTATTTTTATGAACTTCTTGAAAGGCTAGGAGGCGAACTCTGTGGGAGACAGGGAAATCACTCCAATTCTTTCTTGGATTTAGTGGTCAAATTTTTAATAAGGGGCACCCTAAAGAATACTTTTGGCAATAGAGTGAATCTCTGAAGATAATCACATGATCATGAAACAAAACACTGAGGCTATGTCTAGACTGCCCCCTCTTGTGGAAAAAAATGCAAATCAGGCAAAGCATGGAATATTGCTGTGCCTCATTTGCATAATTAACAAGGCTCCATTTTGAGCAAAAACCACTTCTTGTGCAAGAGCTGTTCTTCCATGTTCTTCAGCCATAGATTAATTAAATTAATGGAGATTACTGATCTCCTAGAGCTGGAAGGG